GCACCCCCAGTGGTGCACCCACAAGCTAGGGTGTCAAAGGCCCCTGTGTTTCCTGTTTAATTCAGTCCTTTATTTGGAACCATGAGGACTAGAACTTCACTGTACTTTTCAGAGGAAGGGCTGAGCACGCCCCACTGCCTGAAACTCTTGAGAGCCACTGCCTGACTGTGTAGTAGACTACACTGAGCTAAATGGGACGGCAGTCTGGCTCGGTAGAAGGTGCAATCCTTCGTTCCTATTTAATTCATCCCAGGAGAAGCAGATGGCTTACTTTATATTTTTTGGAGGGGGGAAGAGTTTCCTCTGCCCGAAACTCCGGATAGCTGCTGCCAGTGAGTGCTGGAACCTGCAGCGGTCCGACTCGGCAGACCCTCGGCTACCTATTGCAGCCAGCAGCAGAGTTCCTTGGGGAACTAGATGACACTTCCTTCCACACCCCCCCCAAAGGAAATAGACCAATTTCCTAATAATGGCTGAGAACCACGCAGGGAGCGCGCGAGATGCAGACGGTCCTGGGGTTAGGGAGACCCCGCAGAGGGGAAACGGGGAGGGGGCTGCCTCCAGCCCGGAGGGCGAGGGAGGCAACCTTCTTTCCTGGAAAACCTCCCAAGGCCCGAGCGGGGAGGAGCCCCATGTCTCCTGGAACCCGGCAAGCTTTCGCCCCTGGACGCAAAGCGCTGAGGGGGGCAGCGAAAAGGAGTAAGAGGAGGAGGAGGCGCCCCTCGCCTGGCCTCGGCTGTCTGTCCAGCCCCCACTCTGCCCTACCTGGAATGCAACCTCTTGTCGGGGGGCTCCGGCAGGGCGTTCTCGGGGGCCAGCAGGGACATCGTTGCGGGAGGGCAGGCAGGCAGGCGGGCAGGGGCGGGCAGCGCCTCCTCCGCCTCCAGCCGGCCGGCAACGGCGGCTCACCCGGACCCCCGACTCCGTGGAGGCAGGGCGTCCCGCCCCCGGCTCTGACGTCAACGCCCACCTCTCCGCCCGCCCCCGCCTGCGCGCTTTCGCGGGAGGGCGGGTGCTTATGTCTCCCTGCCTCAAATACAGAAAGTAAGCTTAACTGTAACGTTGAAGTTGGGGGCGCTGATTGACGCAGGGCTATATTCCCCACCACCACCCCGAGCGCCAAAAAAATAAAAAAATAAAATCCTCTTGGGTCATGAGGACTGGAAACTTGTCTTGAATTTAAAGGACTTGATTCCTTTGCAACGTCTTTCCCATTCTACCCCATCTCCGGGTTTGGATTTAAAATACAGTATAAATATTATGAAGGTCCCACTGCCGCCACGGGGCGCCCTCCTTCGGGGGTCGCCTAGACCACCCTCATTTCCGGTATCTTGGTCACTTTTGGAACGAAGCGGGCTCGATCCACAGGAAGGGGGTTGTTGTCCAGCCTCCCCACCTTCCTGTGCTTGGAGCCCCTACGCGAGAGGAGAAGTGCTTCTGCCTGGAGCAACGGCCATAGCCTGCGGTACTGCTGAACGCACAGGGACCTCGCCGCAGGTGGCCGCCGTTTCCCCAGCCTGGGCCAGCTAGGATTCCTGGCTTGCTTACCCCTTGGCGGGGTCCCTTCCTACCCTGGAGTTCTGTGATTTTTGTGGTCTCCGAAAGTGGTGGACTCTCCTTCACTGTAGGTTTCTAAGCAGAGGTTGGATGGCCACCTGTCAGGGATGCTTTAGTTGTGGTTCCTGCGTTGCAGGGTTAGATGCCCCTTAGGCGGGGGAAACCCACAAGCAGTATTTGAGCAGGAGAGCCCTCTCATCTCCTGCGATTCCTAGCAGCTGGTATCCAGAAGCACTGCTGCCTCCAACCTTGGAGGCAGAGCATAGACAAAGTGGGCCATCGATAGGTAAAGGTAAAGGGACCCCTGACCATTAGGTCCAGTCGTACTGACTCTGGGGTTGTGGCGCTCATCTCGCTTTATTGGCCAAGGGAGCCGGCGTACAGCCAGCATGACTAAGCCGCTTCTGGTGAACCAGAGCAGCGCACGGAAACGCCGTTTACCTTCCCGCCGGAGCGGTACCTATTTATCTACTTGCACTTTGATGTGCTTTCGAACTGCTAGGTTGGCAGGAGCAGGGACTGAACAGCAGGAGCTCACACCGTCACAGGGATTCGAACCGCCGACCTTCTGATCGGCAAGCCCTGGGCTCTGTGGTTTAACCCAATATCCCCCTTTTAAAGCCATCTAGGTTGGTAGCTCTCACTGCCTCCTGCTGGAGGGAGTTCCACAGTTTAACATTAAGCTTTGTGTAATGTCTATTCCCGGAGCAACAAACAGACAAGAGAGCAGCAGAGAGGGAGGTGTGCAGGCTTGACTCTGCACGCTGCCAAGGTCCTCCTCCTCCTCTCTCCTTCCAACAGAAGGAAGTGCCAGGGACTGGCAAGCCCAGGCAGGCAAGTGTTGATACACACAGCTGCTGTCAGGGAAAACATAAACCGGAGGCGTGTGTTGCCTGTTGCCAGCAGAGAAAAAGCGATGAAATGCCCCACATATGCTCTCCACATATGCAGAGGAAGGGATCCCGAAACACATTCATTGATCCAGGACATGCAATCTTAGCCGAATCCTGCAGCAGGAAGTCACAGCGAGAGACAGGCAACCTGCAAGTAAATCTCCTTTATTTTATTGGGTTTTTAAAGGGTGACCCTTGGAGCCCCTACAATTCTATTAATCTATGATCTGTTTTAACTGTTAAGAGCATAAGGAGAGCCTGCTGGATCTAGCCAGGGGCTCATCCAGCCCAGCAACCTGTTCTCACCGTGGGCAACCAGATTCCCATTGTGGGAAACCAGCAAGCAGGACCAGAACACAAGAGCCCTCTGCCCTCCTGCAGACTATGGAGGCAGAGGATAGCTATCATGCCTAGTTTGTAGCCATCAATAGTCTGCTTCTCCAATAATTTTAAAAAGCCATCTACTGTAAATAGGCAAGCCACCCCTGCCTCTTGCAGGAGTCCATAGCGTTGCAGAGAGACAGATCCCGAAATGCATTTGCTGACCCGGGCATGAAATGTTAGCCAAATCCTGCAGCAGGAAGTCCTGGTGAGAGGCAGGTAAAAGGTAAAGGTAAAGGGACCCCTGGCCATTAGGTCCAGTCGTGGCCGACTCTGGGGTTGCGGCGCTCATCTTGCTTTATTGGCCAATGGAGCCGGCGTATAGCTTCCGGATCATGTGGCCAGCACGACTAAGCCGCTTCTGGTGAACCAGAGCAGTGCAGGGAAACACCATTTACCTTCCCGCCAGAGCGGTATCTATTTATCTACTTGCACTTTGACGTGCTTTCGAACTGCTAGGTTGGCAGGAGCAGGGACCGAGCAACAGGAGCTCACCCCATTCGAACCACCAACCTTTTGATCGGCAAGCCCAAGGCTCTGTGGTTTAACCCACAGCGCCACCCGCGTCCCGAGAGGAAGGTAACTCACAAGGAAATCCCATTTATTTATTTATTTATTTATTTGTCTCTGCCTCTCTGTTGTTTCAAAATATTGTTATTTATTTGGGGAGGGTATTAGACTGTATGCCTGACCCATAGGAGCCAATTCCTGGGGACCAAGGTCCCTTTTGCCCCCCCCCTAAAAAATTTGAGGGGGCTGGCCTTCCCCAAGTTGATGGGTATTGATGTGGCATGTGATCAATTATGTGGGGCAGGGTTTACCTGCACCCCATATTTTAATCAGATTGGCACCCCTGGCCTGAGCCCCCTTCTAATTCCTGGATCCAGTACTGATGTCATTCCTGGAATAGCCAGGCTAGCTTCCTGGCAAGGTAATGGACTAAATATTGGTAGTTAAAGTAACCAAGGAAGTGGCTCTGTGCCAGATGAATAATACGTTGGTCCCTCCTCCCTCAACTGCCTGGTAGTTAGAAGGACAAAAGCCACAGTTGGGAGTTGAGTTGTGTGAGATTGCAGGCTGGCCAGCTGGGAGCCATACCTGATTTCTGCTTGAATCCAAGCCTGCTACCTTCAGGGGTGTTAATGCTGTGAACCCTTCCATTGTAAGCTTAGACCTGGGAGAGCACAGGGTTCAAATCCCCCCATTCAGCCATGAAGCTCCATTGGCCTTGGGAGGATAAAATGGGGAGTGGGGAGGTTAGGCTGAGAGTGAATGACTGGCCCAAATATCACCCAGTGTGTTTCATGGATGATTGGGGATTTGAACCCTGGTCTTTTCCAGGTCCTACCCCGACACACTAACTACTACACCACACAGGGTCTTATTATGTATACTTAGTATATATACAATATACTATATATATGGCAGGTGCTCCATTGTCTTCCAAGATAGGCAGATGCCAGGAAATATATGGTAAAAAAATATACTCTCTACTTATACAATATTATATATAATGTACAGAGCTCTGCCTTCTCAAACACCTGGTTTTTGACATTCTTTTTAAAGGAAAAAACCTAGTCTTATATACGGAAAAATATGGTATATGACCAACTATTTTGACAATATATTGGTACCAATACATTGGTATCATCAAAAATATTCAGTCACATTGATTTTGGACAACAAACAATAGTGTCTTTGGTAATAGTTATAATTTCTGTCAAAATTAATTTCCAAAAATTTTGCACAAATTGACATTCCCACACAATAAATGAAAACCTACATTGCAGGGGGCTGGGCTGGATGACCCTTGGGTTCCCTTCCAACTCTATGATTCTATGGTTCTATGTACCAAGTTTATTGCAACCCCTCCAACAATAAGGTGATACAGAAGAAAACTTTTTTTTTTTTTACATTTGCAAAGGAATGCAGTACCATCTGTGTAGTGATTTCAAGGAGTTTTCCCTAAGAAAACTGGAAACAGACCTTAATGGCTGCAGTTCTGAAATTTTATTGCAATCCTCAGGAATAATTTGTGTGCCAATATCCAACTCCTGTATCTTTTAAGTGGTTCCATAGATCCATAATTTACATTAAGCAATATATATACAATTCAGAAACTAATCCTTTCCCCTTCTACCCATAGTGTTTAATGAAGTTTTGAATGGCGCTAAGGGTCTCAGAGCTTCTGCTTCCCACCACCAGTCTGGGCAGAGAGCAACCTTGACCTCCCCTTCAGGCAGCCAAATACCAGGGCCAGCTCTGAATTCCTCAGCTCCTTGCTCCTACCTGCCTGGGAAGCTGCATCTGTTGGATTCCTCTTTTATGCAAATGGGTGGGTGGGACTCTGCAATGACTCTCCTGGCTTTTCCCTTAGATTGAAGGAGGATTCCTTTGGGATGGACAAGACACCCCTTCACCCAGGATTGGGACCTAGAATCCTTTGACTCTGGGGTAGAGGCTGGCCCCTCAACGAGACTTCCAGCTTGCTTCATCCATCCATCAGAAGGGGGTCCATGGAGCTCCATCCATCTTCCTTGGCCCTCCCAGCTGAAGGCTGGGGGATGGAGGGTGGGGGCCACCTGGCCAAATCTAAAGCCAGCATCCCAGGACATTGTCATATTGCTCAGAAGTTGTTGGAGGCTCTCAAAAGCAAGTCCCCTCCAGACAAGAAGCTGCAGGAGTTGCAGCAGCGGATACTGGAGCAGCAACGGCGGTGTCTTGTCCATGCCCTGGGAGGGGGGAGTGCCCCCACTCCGGGCACAAGGACTCTCAAGAGGAAGGTTGGCAAGGCGGCTGCCCACATTGTTGACACTCCAGATCCAGCTTCTGAAGGTAAGTTAGTTGCTTTGGAATCGTAGCATTAGAAGGGACCGCCAGGATAATATAGTCCAACCTCCTGCAGTGCAGAAATCCCTGCAAAGGATTATTATTAAGAGAATAGGAAGAGCCTGCTGGATCAGGTCCATGGCCCATCTAGTCCAGAAGAGTGACTAGTGGGGTGCCACAGGGTTCTGTCTTGGGCCTGGTCTTATTCAACATCTTTATCAACGACTTGGATGATAGACTCAAGGGCATCCTGATCAAATTTGCAGATGACACCAAACTGGGAGGGGTGGCTAACACCCCAGAGGACAGGATCACACTTCAAAACGACCTTGACAGATTAGAGAACTGGGCCAAAACAAACAAGATGAATTTTAACAGGGAGAAATGTAAAGTATTGCACTTGGGCAAAAAAAATGAGAGGCACAAATACAAGATGGGTGACACCTGGCTTGAGAGCAGTACATGTGAAAAGGATCTAGGAGTCTTGGTTGACCACAAACTTGACATGAGCCAGCAGTGTGACGCGGCAGCTAAAAAAGCCAATGCAATTCTGGGCTGCATCAATAGGAGTATAGCATCTAGATCAAGGGAAGTAATAGTGCCACTGTATTCTGCTCTGGTCAGACCTCACCTGGAGTACTGTGTCCAGTTCTGGGCACCACAGTTTAAGAAGGACACTGACAAACTGGAACGTGTCCAGAGGAGGGCAACCAAAATGGTCAAAGGCCTGGAAACGATGCCTTATGAGGAACGGCTAAGGGAGCTGGGCATGTTTAGCCTGGAGAAGAGGAGGTTAAGGGGTGATATGGTAGCCATGTTCAAATATATAAAAGGATGTCACATAGAGGAGGGAGAAAGGTTGTTTTCTGCTGCTCCAGAGAAGCGGACACGGAGCAATGGATCCAAACTACAAGAAAGAAGATTCCACCTAAACATTAGGAAGAACTTCCTGACAGTAAGAGCTGTTCGACAGTGGAATTTGCTGCCAAGGAGTGTGGTGGAGTCTCCTTCTTTGGAGGTCTTTAAGCAGAGGCTTGACAACCATATGTCAGGAGTGCTCTGATGGTGTTTCCTGCTTGGCAGGGGGTTGGACTCAATGGCCCTTGTGGTCTCTTCCAACTCTATGATTCTATTCTATCCTCACAGTGGTCGAATGCCTCTAACAACCTAGGAATCCATATAGGTTCATAGCTGTCAACTTACAGATTTGAAAATAAGGGACCAGCAGCCAAAATAAGGGATTTTAGTCAACCAGCTCCCCAGCTAAAGGCAGAAAGCCCAGCTAGCCCAGCAGCCAAACGAAGCCTCAAGTGGTGGTTCCCACAGCGCAGCAACCCGGCAAAGGGGGTGCAGCAAGGAAAACCATCGTCACCTCTCCGCTGGGAAGCGCTGAGCAAAGGCGAGTCCCCAGGCAATGCCGCCGATTTGATCAGCACAAGGCATGCAAGCTCCACCCCCCCAGTCATTCTTAGACTCCTTATTAGGTGAGCAACGCAGCCAAGCAACACAGCTGGAGCCTCCCTCCTCCCTGGCCAGCAGGGAGGGAGGTAGAGGAGCTGCTTCCTTTGAAACCTGGGAAATTTAAGGGACATCATCAATAAGGGACAGCAGCGGGACACGGCGCTGGGATAAGGGAATTTCCCGCCAAATAAGGGACAGTTGACAGCTATGGATAGGTTGCCTCTTGGCCTGGAGGTTTCACAAGAGCACCCAAAGAGCCCTGGTTGATCAGGCCAAGGGGCCCCATCTAGTCCAGGCTCCTGTTCTCACAATGGCCATCCAGATGCCCATTATGGGAAGCCCACAAGCAGGATGCGAGCACATGATCAGCCTCCCTTCTTGTGGCTTCAAGTAACTGGTATTCAAAGGACCACTGCTTCTGATAGAGCTCTGCCACCCTGGCTAATAGCTGTCTTGTGCAGGAATTTGCCCAGTTTGTCAAAATTATTGTTAATGTTACACCAGTTCACTTATAAAGGCTGTGTGCACATTCAAAGCACATTTCCCCATGCAAAGAATTCTGGGCACTGTAATCTGCTGATGGTTGCTGGGAATTGAAATTGAAATTGAAATACTGTACTTTATTGTCACTTGTACAACTTGAATACAATGAGATTACATGAGCATCCCCCACTCAGCTCTCTTAGTCTTATTTCCCCTCGTTTACTGACACACACACAGACCAAACTCGAAAGTCAGTTGCCCTGTTGTTATCCTTTCATTCAGCAGCCTAACAGCCCATGGATAGAAGCTGTTCTTTACCCTGTTGGTGCGACTAATCATGCTTCTATATCTTCTGCCCGAGGGCAGGAGATCAAGAAAGTGCCGGCCAGGGTGTGAATCATCCCTGAGAATTTAACTCATACTCCTGAGGCAACATTCTTCCGTGATGTCATCCAGCAGATTCACGGGACAGCCCATAATATCTTGTGCTGTATTCACCACCCTCTGTAGGCACTTCCTATAAGTTTATGTCAAGCCAGCGTACCACACCGTGATGCAGTATGAAAGGACACTTTCTATTGTGGACCAGTAGTTGTATTGATTTTCCAAGTAAGGTCTTCACTGAGATAAACTCCTAGGAATTTAAAGGAAGAGACTCTCTCCACACAGCCCTCCCTGATGTACAGCGGGGCTAGTTCTCCTCTCTTCCTCCGAAAGTCCAACACCATCTCCTTTGTCTTGCTGATATTAACGTGCAAGTTATTCTCTAGGCACCATGTAGATATTTTTTGGACCTCCCCTCTATATGCTGATTCGTCTCCACCTGTTATTAAACCCATTATGGTGGTGTCACCTGCAAACTTAATAATTGCAGTAGACGGGTCAGATGATACACAATCGTATGTATACAATTGCAGGGCAACGAGGTAAATGGGTAGTGATAAAGCGGGATATCAAATCCAAACTATTACTACTACTATGACAGTTCCCAGAACCCTTTGATGGAAAGAAGGTGCTGGAATGTCCAAGTGATAGCAGGACTTGGCTACTGGAGAATCCACCCCCAATATATATTTATTTGTGGTTTTGTGCTGCATTGTCAAAATCTGAGTTTAATGTATCGTGTGACCTTTCTCACTGGTGAAGGCCGCAGAGGAACGTCAGGAAAGGAGAAGAGGCGCAAATCGCACATGATTCCTCCCCCTGAGATGTCTCAGAAAGAGAGAGGTAAAGTTATGGTGGACTGCGTGTGTGCTGCTTGGACCAATTCTTCATTCATTCATCCATTCCTGCATTTCATGCTTTTTGAATCCATGCAGCCAGCCAGCCATTTTTTTTCTTTTGCAGGACTTCAGGATTAACTGGTATTCCCCAGTTATTTCCCTACCCAAGCATGTGCCCCCTCATTTAATCCCCACAACAACAACAACCCTGCAAGGTGGTTAGGCTGAGAGGCAAAGTGACTGTCCCAAGGCCACACAGTGAGCTTCATGTGCAAGTGGAAAGATCTGAACCCTTCTCGTCCTCTGTTGTCCCCTTCTCCTTGTGCCCTCCATCTTTCCAACATCAGGTTTTTTTCCCAAGGAGTCTTCTCTTCCCATGAGGTGGCCAAAGTATTGGAGCCTCAGCTTCAGGATCTGTCCTTCCAGTGAGCACTCAGGGCTGATTTCCTTAAGAATGGAGAGGTTTGATCTTCTTGCAGTCCATGGGACTCTCAAGAGTCTCCTCCAGCACCATAATTCAAAAGCATCAATTCTTCGGCGATCAGCCTTCTTTATGGTCCAGTTCTCACTTCCATACATCACGACTGGGAAAACCATGGTTTTAACAATACGGACCTTTGTTGGCAAGGTGATGTCTCTGCTTTTTAAGATGCTGTCTAGGCTTGTCATTGCTTTTCTCCCAAGAAGCAGGCGTCTTTTAATTTTGTGGCTGCTGTCACCATCTGCAGTGATCATGGAGCCCAAGAAAGATGGAGGGCACAAGGAGAAGGGGACGACAGAGGACGAGATGGTCGGATAGTGTTCTTGAAGCTACCAGCATGAGTTTGACCAAACTGCGGGAGGCAGTAGAAGACAGGAGCGCCTGGCGTGCTCTGGTCCATGGGGTCACGAAGAGTCGGGCATGACTAAATGACTAAACAACAATCCTAGTTTCCCAACCAACACTCTAACAACTCCATCTTCCACACTGGCTCTCTCATGAGGCTTAGCTATTGATAAACCTTTCCTGCTCCGTGAATTTTTCCAGTCCTATTTTAAAGCCATTGAAGTTGGTGGCCCATCAGTTTAACTAAGAACGACTTTCGTTTATCCATCCTGGACCAACTTTCTGCTTCATTGGATGCTTACAAGTTCTGGTGTTATGAGACAGGAAAGAAAACTTTTCTCTATCTATTTTTTTCCTGTGCCAGGCACAACTTTGTAAACTTATCCCCTGTTCCTGCTCCATCAGTGGAGGGGGCTTTTTGCTTGCTGAACCCTGTTTAAAATGTATGAAATAGACAATAATTTCCTCCTGCTGCTTTGTTTTAATGAGTGGCCTGAAAAATGACTAGTGTGCCTCCCTTGCAGGGAGGGCTGCCGCCACCCACATTCATCAAGGGAACTGTCAGCATCAGTCCTCAGGAAGGTCCCTTTCATCGTTTGTCAGTGGTGAGATGGATGGGAGGTCAGAGGTTAGAGGCAAAGCGCTTAGCACCATGATGAATTAGTGATTTGAAACAGTTAATGAAAAATTAAGCCACACTGGCTGTAAAATATTCATCTATTCATGGGAAGGAGGAGTGGGAAAGGAGGCTCAGGTAGGTGGGCAAAGAATCCTAGAATTGTAGAGTTGGAAGGGACACCCAAGGGTCATCTAATTCAGCCCTCTGCAATGCAGGAATCCCTGACAGGTGGCCATCCACCATCCACTTACAACCTCCAGTGAAGAAGAGCTTTAAACAAGGAACAGAATCATGGAGAAGAGGGCTATCAATAGCAACTAGCAAGGATGGCTCTACTCTGCCTCTATGGTCAATGCTTCTGAATACCAGTTGCTTCTGGAAATCACAGGAGGGGAGAGAGCTCTCGTGCTTGAATCTTCCTTGCAGGTTTCCCAAGATGCATTTGGTTGGCCACTGTGAGGACAGGAGGCCAGACTAGATGGGCTACTGGCCTGGTCCAGCAGGCTATTCTTACGTTGTTCACAGCCCTGCTTGATCAAGGAAGAAACCCTCCAAGTGATTTACAAAAAAAGATAAAACAATAAAACTATCTGTAGCAACAATAATTCAGTACATCTGAAGAGTTAATAATAGTGTGAAAATAGATTCTAACTCACATCAGCTTTCTAAACACCTGGACAGGCTTGTCTAAAGAACATGGTTCTTAGCTGGTGTTGAAAAGATTACAGTGAAGCTGCTTGCCTGGTGTCAATAAGGAGGGAGTTCCAGAGTTTTTGCAGGTACAAATGCAGCTGTCTGGAGAGTGTCTCACTCCTCAAAGACCCTTTTCCTGCTGTGTTTAATCTAGGAGCCCATTTATTTGGTCCTTCTGCCTGGAGGGAAGGCCAGAAGCTGGCCAGGAGGATCCTGGGCCAACCCCAGAAATTCCCAAGGCCAGGGAACAGCAGCTCTCTATGCATGGCAGCAAAGGGCACCCCAGGTATGGTCCTCTTTTGACATTTCCTCCCCACTCCCATTTCTGGAGAGCAAAGCTTTAAAAATAATTGTGAAAATAGATCTCCACTGAAACAAGCATAGTTTGTTGCATTGCTGCCTCGTTGTTAACTGGTGATTTAACAAAATAAACCCAGTTCCTGGAAACCAGAGAAAGGGAAAGTGGGTCCTGTTTGTGGACATCTCATTGGCCATGGTGAGGGCAGGATGCTGAACTGGATGGGCCCCCTTTGGACTGATTCTTATGGAACCGACAGCTCCAGAGGCAGTCTGTCTTGATTCCCAGGTTCTTAAGGGTATTTGGCCACTGTGAGGACAGAATGCTGGACTACCTGGGCCATTGGCCTGATCCAACAGGCTCTTCTGATGTTCTTATGCTTTCCACAGGACTGGAAAAAGGTTTGTTGACCATGTCCCAGGTAGAACAAAGCTCTTTAGGAAGGAGAGGTGGCACCCACCGCAAAGATCATGCCGTGGAGAGAGGAACAGCGGAAGCTGGAGAAGCAGATGGTGCTGCAGGATTGAACAAAATCTGCCAAGGCTGCAGGAACCAGGAATATCCAGATCTAGAAAGGGAGGCAGGAAATCTGCAAAGGCAAACTGGAAGCAAAGGTAAAGCAGGTTGCTCCAATGGGATGGAAACCAAGGATTCCCCCAAGGTCCACAGTGCATCTGCAGACACTGGGTGGGTGTGCCCCAGAATACTCTCGGCCATCCGCAAGGGGAGGGTGAAGGAGACCTCCCAAATGGAGAACCAGCCCAGGCTGGATGGACAGAGGAAGAGGATCCCCTACAATATTGATGAGGTACGGGAATTTATGGTGCAGAAGATGGCAGAAAGGAGAAAGGTGGCCCGGGAAGAAAAGCGAGCTTTAAGAGAGGCGCAGGAGGCAAGGAAGAGGAGGCTAAAAGAGGTGGAGAGGAAGCAGAAGGAAGCCTTCAGCAGAAGCAGGAGGAGACAGTCTTACACAGAGGAGGAAGTGGGCGGGAAGTTCAAACAGGGAAGCACATCCACGAAGTATGCCAAGCGTCACTGGAGCCCGGTAAGGATATAAGATGTGTGTTTGATTGGTGGAAAGAGTGGTTGGTGAGCTGTAATTCAAAAGTCCAAGAGAGAGCAGCAAAAAAGGGTAATGCAGCAGGGTTCTGTCCTGGTCCCAGTGTTCCTCAATGTCTTTATAAATGACTTCGATGAAGGAATTGAGGGGATGCTCATCAAATTTGCAGATGACGGCAAACTGGGAGGGGTAGCTAATGTCGGAGAAGACAGAATCGGGATTCAAGATGGTCTTAACAGATTGGATAACTGGGCCCAAACTAACAAAATGAATTTCAATAGGGACAAATGTAGGCAGGAATAGCTAGCTGCTCAAATATAAGATGGGGGAACACCTGGTTTGCCAGTAGTACTTATGAAAAGGATCTACGGATCTTAGTAAACCACAAGCTTAACCTGTGTCTAAAGTGTGATGCAGCAGCAAAAAAAACCCCTCTATGCTATTTTTGGCTGCATCAGCAGAAGTATGGTGTTCAGATCAAAGGAAGTTATAGTACTGCTCTATTCTGCCTTGGTACTCGGTCCAGTTCTGGGTGCTGCAATTTAAGAAGAATATTAACAAATGGGATGTGGACAGAGGAGGGTGACCAAGTTGATAAAGGAAACCAAGCCTTAAGAGGAATGGCTGAGGGAGTTGGGTAGGATGAAGAAAGGGAGACTTAGAGGAGATATGATAGCCATCTTCAAATATCTCAAGGACTGTCCCATGGAAAATGGAGCAAGCTTGTTTTCTCCTGCTCTGGAGGGCAGGACCTGAACCAATGACAGGAAATGAGATTCTAACTGGAGGGCACCAGGTTGGGAAAAGCCAGCTCTATGAAATAATTCCAGTATTTTTACAAAGTGGATGCTCTTTTCCATTTTAGGAACCGGAAGTCTTGCACTGGGTCCGCCAAACATCACGTGCTCTTCTGAGGGGTGAGGTGGGGTTTCCCAGGTAAGATGGTTGCCATCGCTCCCAGGTGCTGAGGAGTGGGATAGGTTCAAGCAACTAGTGCTATTTTGGGGTTTTTGAAAAATGTTTTCCTTCCTTTCTGGTTCTTTTGTCTTGTCAGTGAGGAGTATCCAGAGGCGTCCAAGACAGCAGAAGTGACCGGAAGCTCAGATTTGTTTCGCACTAGTGTTAGTCACAGCCCTCTAAGGCTGAGGGACCTGGACATTGCCCCAGCGGAATTGTCCAGACTTTCTCCCCACAGAAGCAAACAAGAGAAAGTCAGAGCCATTGGCCTTCTCGCCAGGAGCCTCAGTGAACGGCTGGAAAATGAGACAAAAAGGCTGAGGGCCAGAAACAGGCCACTTGAATCTTCAGGGGACCAAGGGTGGCCAACGGGACCCCCATCTCTCTCAGAGGGACCTTCTGCCACCTCAAAGCCTGAGGCTCCACCTGCAGCATGTGAAAATGCCTTTTGGGAGCCCAACTATTTCCGTAGTCCATCACTGCATGCTCAGGAGAACTCTCTCCTTCCAGAAGGAGCAGCAGCAACCCAGGCTGCCATGGAGAGGATCTGGGCCTTCTTGTCCATTGCCAGAGTTCATGGTGAGGGACCGCAGAGGGATCTTTCTTCTGAGGCGGAAGAGCAACATGCAGCCAGTGCAAAAAACATCAAGGAAAGGTGGAAAGGTGAGCTGAGGCGTTTCCTGGGTTGCTGGTCCCTGCTCTACCAACTGAGCTATCCCAACACTCAATACAGTCATACCTCGGGTTGAAGTAGCTTCAGGTTAAGGATTTTCAGGTTGCCCTCCGCGGTGACCCGGAAGTAACAGAGCACGTTACTTCTGGGTTTCGTCGCTCGTGCATGCTCAGATGCTCAAAATGACATCAAGCGCGTGCACGGAAGCAGCGAATTGCAACCCGCGCATGCGCAGATGCACAGTCGTGGGTTACGCTCTACTCAGTATGTGAATGGGGCTCCGGAATGGATCCCATTCGCATCCAGAGGTACCACTGTATGTAACTTCCTGTTTCTTCCATTTACTCTCTCCTCAACCAGACATGCTCTATGCTTGCTCCATTCCCAGGCAAAAGCCCAAAACTGTTTTGACTGTAAATACAGTGGTATCTCGGGTTTAGAACTTAATTTGTTCTTGGGGTCTGTTCTTAACCTGAAACTGTTCTTAACCTGAGGTACCACTTTAGCTAATGGGGCCTCCTGCTGCTGCCGCGCGATTTCTGTTCTCATCCTGAAGCAAAGTTCTTAACCTGAGGTACTATTTCTGGGTTAGCGGAGTCTGTAACCTGAAGTGTCTGTAACCCAAGGTACCACTGTGTAAGTATTTTACCTGCATTGTACTGCTGCTGTAGCTGAAGACCATTGCAAGACTCTTGAGTTAGTAATCATAGTCTGTTGTCTTATTTCTTTGCCTAGAGGGGTAAGAAAGGTGGAAGCCAGCTTATTTTGTTACTGGACTTGCGCAAGAAGAGGCTTTGCAGCCTAATTCCTATACTACTAATTTTGCTGCCAAGGATGGGATTTTAAAACTCTCTTTAACCCACACATATGGGTTCCTGGAGGGATAAATTGAAACTAATATATCCTCTCTGAAGGTGGCTCAGTTGGTTAGAGTGTGGGTCTGATAATGCCTAGGTTGTGGGTTTGATCCCTGCATGGGACAGCAGCTACACATTCCTGCATTGCAGGAAGTTAGACTGGGTGATCCTCTGGATCCCATCCAACTCTACAATTCTTACCCATTAAAACCCATTTGACACCTAGACGTCATCCTCATTGTGAAAAAACTGAGCTTGGGTCTCATGCCTCAAAGCCATCCATACATAATCCTTCCTTTTCTTCTAAAGGTTTTCTTGCAAGTAGGGGACCTCAAAGAGGACCCTCCCCCGAGATGCCAGGTGCCTCACCTGCCACACCACATCTGCAGTTCCTCACCCGAAGGTAAGCACCTCCTGACCCTCATGGACCTTCACTGCTGCTGTGGTGCCCCATCAGAATGCAAGAAAAGCCTGCATGATCAAGCCAATGGCCAGTCCAGCATCCTGTTCCCACAGTGGCCAGCCAGGTGCCTGCAGGAAACCTGCAAGCAGAACCCAACCACAAGAGCCCTCTCCTTTCCTGTGACTTCCAGCAACTGGTACTACCTCTGACTGTGGAAGCAGAGCAGAGCCATCGTGGCTTGTGGCCATCCAGAGCCCTCTCCTCCTCCATGAATTGGTCTAATCTGCATGCAGCACAGAGTTAAACTATGGAAGTTGCTGTTGCAGGAGGCAGTTATGGCCACCAACATGAATGGCTTTAAAATGATTAGACAAATCTATGGAGCGGAGGGCTATCAATGGCTACTAGGCACGATGGCTGTGCTCTGACACTACAGATGGAGGCAGCAATGCTTCTGAAAGCCAGTTGCTGGAAACCACAGGAGGAATGAGTTCTTGCGCTCAGATCTTGCTTCTGGGTTTCCCATTGGGGGCATGTGGTTGGGGGCCACGGTGAGGACAGGATGCTGGGCTAGATGGGCCATTGGCCTGATCCAGCAGGGCTCTCTTTATGCTGTTATGTTCTAAACTCTCCTTGCAAAATGCAAATATCTTAAAAAAGGATTTTGGGTGCTCCAGTTTCCCGGAGAGCCCCTTTGCGTCTTTCAGCTTCTGCAAATGGTAGTCCAAGGATTTTGGGAAGCACAGTGACTTTCTGTTCATGAATAGTTCCTTTATGGCAGAGTTTTCCAAACTTTTCATGTTGGTGACACATTTTTAACACATGCATCATTTCATGATACAGTAATCCATTTTTAATAGTGTGCCGGAAGTTAAACTAACCCCTTTCCAGCCCTGAGAGGAGCTTGGGGAGCGTTCATGCGACACACCTACACATTGCAGCTGACAAATGCGTCGCAACACACAGTTTGGAAAGCTCAGCTTTGTGTGGTGCCTGCTTGTGTGTGTTTTAATATGAACCCAGAGAAGAGGAGCAGTGTTGTGTAGTGGTTAGAGTGTCAGAGTCGGATCTGGGAGAGCAGGGTTCAATTCCCCACTCAGCCATGAAGCTCACTGTGTATCCTTGGGGGCAATCACTGCCTCTCAGCCTAACCCACCATGGGGATTAAATGAGGACTAGGACCCTGGGAGAGAGCAGGGTTCAAATCCCCACATAGCCATGAAGCTCACTTGGACAGGTCACTCACTCTCAGCCTAACCTACCTCACAGGGTTGTTGTGGGGACTCCATGAAGAGAAAGGGACTAATCACCACCACCCTTGAACTCACTGGAGAAAAAAGGAGGGGGGCTATAAACGCAATAAAGAAAGAAGAGCAGTTCTACAGTTGACCACAGGGTGGCACTGCCAGCCCATGCAAAAGCCATGCCAGTTGGGTGCGCCAAAGGATCCCCATAGCTGCTCAGGGACTTCCCATGAGAAGAAGAGGTTGGGATAGATCCTGTGGTCAATCCGTATGGTTTCCATTTCTTTCAGTTGAGCTCTGTTGGCACAACTGTGAATTTCCTGGTCTCTCTGCTGTGATTCCTGCATTGCAGGGAGTTGGGTTATTATTATTCCTTCTCCCCCACAAAAAGGGGAGACAGCAACAGCTGGGGGTCTTCAGTCCCAGGAAACTCCTTCCTGTCCAGATGCAGGAAGAGATCCTCAGCTGTGGCTGACCTGGCTTGGGAGACAAAGTGCAGAAACCAGACGGAGAAGGCTGAGCTGGGTTTTATTTCCCCCGATCAGTGTGATTACCTTGTCTCTTCTGAACTCCTCATCCTTTGTGGGATGAGAGATCAGAGGTGTTAAGGTGCTCTCTTTGGGAGCTGGGGGGGGGTGAGAGCAGGAGGCCATGGCACCCTCCTCCTTTACCATCAACAAAGGGGGTTGCAGTGGCAGAGCATCCCAGGTGCAGGAGGTCTCAGATTCAGTCCCCAAAGGCATCCCTAGGTAGGGCTGGTGCCTTCCTGTGTTCCCTGTTTGATTCAGCAAAAATGAGAAATAGAGTCTTACTTTATTTTAGGGGGTCATAGCTCAGTGGGAGAGCTCCTTCTTAATCTCCTTTTAAGTTCTCTTACTAGTTAATTGTGGATGATATAAAAACATTTCCCTTCTTTCTGCTGCTGTTCTGTCCCTTCTCTTGGAGCTCCATAAAATGTCTATTATTATTATTATTATTATTATTATTATTATTATTATTAGCTTTTTCACACATTTCCCTCTAATCCTTTTAGCTCAGCTTGGCAGTCAAGTCTTTGAAGTGGTTCCCTGGGGCTTCCAAGACTTGGCCTTGGTATCTCTGCCAGGAATGTCAGATGCTCTTCTGTCTTCTGTACAGGGATGGCCAGGGGGGAACTTTATTCAACTTGAGGACCACATTGTCTTCTCAGAAGCCTTCTGGGGCCACCTGCCAGTGGTGGGCAGGGCCAGAGAAGGCAGAACAACAAATCAAAAATTTATTATTCTTATTATTTTCATCATATTAAAACCTCAGAATGCAGTGGGCCATCCTTCGTTGGAGGTTTTTAAGCAGAGGACCTGTCTGATATGCTTTAGTTGAGATTCCTGCATTGCAGGGGGGTTGGACTAGATGACCCTTGGGAGTCTCTTCCAACTCTGCAATTCTATGTTTCTATGCTGAGTGTGTGTGGCATGCTAAAGTCAGAAAGTAATCACTTTCCCTTGCTTTCTGGAGGAGTAGCTGTCTTGTTCTCTCTCGTACTAGAAACATATCCTCTGTTTAGTTATTGGAGAGGAACCTGATTGATATATTGATTTCATATTAATTAATAAAATGTATGCACTACTTGAGGGACGCGGGTGGCGCTGTGGGTAAAAGCCTCAGCGCCTAGGGCTTGCCGATTGAAAGGTCGGCGGTTCGAATCCCCGCGGCGGGGTGCGCTCCCGTTGCTCGGTCCCAGCGCCTGCCAACCTAGCAGTTGGAAAGCACCCCTGGGTGCAAGTAGATAAATAGGGACCGCTTACTAGCGGGAAGGTAAACGGCGTTTCCGTGTGCGGCTCTGGCTCGCCAGAGCAGCGATGTCACGCTGGCCACGTGACCCGGAAGTGTCTCTGGACAGCGCTGGCCCCCGGCCTCTTGAGTGAGATGGGCGCACAACCCTAGAGTCTGTCAAGACTGGCCCGTACGGGCAGGGGTACCTTTACCTTTACCTATGCACTACTTGATTGATTGCTTACATCCCCTAGTTTCCAAATAATTTTTATTATTGCAATTTTTCATAGAAATATTTCATTTTATGTTGACTGCCAAAGGGTCTTTGTTTTTAATCAGTAAGGTAAAGGTAAAGGTACCCCTGCCCGTACGGGCCAGTCGTGTCCGACTCTGGGGTTGTGCGCCCATCTCACTTAAGAGGCCGGGGGCCAGCGCTGTCCGAAGACACTTCCGGGTCACGTGGCCAGTGTGACGAAGCTGCTCTGGCGAGCCGGCACCAGCGCAGCACACGGAAACGCCGTTTACCTTCCCGCTAGAAAGCGATACCTATTTATCTACTTGCACTTAGGGGTGCTTTCGAACTGCTAGGTGGACAGGAGCTGGGACCGAAAGACGGGAGCTCACCCCGCCATGGGGATTCGAACCACCAACTATGCGATCGGCAAGCCCTAGGCTCTGAGGTTTTACCCACAGCGCCACCTGCGTCCCTCTTTTAATCAGTATGGTCCAGCAAATAAATAAATGCAGCTTATGTTTCTCCCTTTCTGTTTACCGGTATATCAGGCCACAAACCAGCCCTTTGATGGAAACCTGCATAGCCACCCACCAGAATTTCAGGATGGAAGACCCCAGGGAGAAGCCCTATCATGGGAAGATTCAGGGTGAGGAGATGCTCTTCCCAAACCTTTTCTTCTCTCCCTCCCTTCTTCGGTGACATGGAGTGCCTTCCACCAACTTTGTCGGGTGTCCAAGCTACACCTAAGCTAGTCACAACTAATTTCTGGTGTCTGTTCTCTGGTGACTTCTAGGCTAGACTGCTGCGTAGAAGTGGGGTGGGGCTGCCCTTGAAGACAGTTCAGAAACTGTGCTGGCTACCAATTAGATTCCAGGCCCAATTCAAAGTGATGCTCTTGACCTACATATGACCCCAATCCCTTCAGGACCCTCTGTTTCCATATGAACTGACTTGGACCCTGCAATCATCATCTGAGACATTTCTTTGTGTGCCGGACCTTAGAATGAAAAAAGACATATTATTATTATTGCCCCTAGGCAATTTGTAAAGGCACTTAGATCATAGAATTGTAGAGTTGGAAGGGATCCCAATGGTCATCTAGTCCAGCCCCCTGCAATGCAGCCATCACATGTGAATTATCAAACTCATACAGCAAAGAGGAGAAATAAAATATTAATTAATTAAGACAGCATATATTTTCTATTTTTATATTTACTTCATAAAATGTATATAGTGCTTGATTGTAAAACAAATCAAAAGCTCAAAGAGGTATACAAAGAGATAAAACAAATTATCAATAATTTTTTTTGCAACCATAGTTTAAACCTTCTAAGCATCGGGACAGGCTTGTCTAAACAGGAATGTTATTAGTAGCCACCAAAATGAGTGCAATGTAGGCACCTGTTTGATATCAAGAGGCAGGGAGTTCCAAAGTTCCAATATCTGAACTCATTAGGTGCTTCTTAAACTACTGTTCTCCCCTAATGCAAGCTATACAGTAATATATGCCCCCCTGGAGGGGCTCCAGTGTCTTTTTTATGCCACAAGAGAGCGCTATTCTCTTACTAGTTAAGCACAAGGTCATATAAAATACTGTAGTGCCTTTGGCAAGGTTCTAAAGCAGGGGTCAGCAACCTTTTTTAGCCGTGGGCCAGTCCACCGTCCCTCAGACCACGTGAGGGGCCGGACTACCATATTTTTCGCTCTATAAGACGCACCAGACCACAAGATGCACCTAGTTTTTGGAGGAGGAAAACAAGAAGAAAAAAAATTCTGAATCTCAGAAGCCAGAACAGCAAGAGGGATCGCTATGCAGTGAAAGCAACAATCCCTCTTGCTGTTCTGGCTTCTGGGATAGCTGCGCAGCCTGCATTCGCTCCATAAGATGCACACACATTTCCCCTTACTTTTTAGGAGGGAAAAAGTGAGTCTTATAGAGCAAAAAATACGGTATATATATTTTTTTGGGGGGGAGGGGGAATGAACGAATTCCTATGCCCCACAAATAACCTAGAAATGCATTTTAAATAAAAGCACACATTCTACTCATGCAAACACACCAGGCAGGCCCCACAAATAACCCAGAGATGCATTTTAAAGAACAGGACACATTCTACTCATGTAGAAACACGCTGATTCCTGGACTGTGTGCGGGCCGGATTGAGAAGGTGATTGGGCCGCATCCGGCCCCCCGGCCTTAGGTTGCCTACCCCTGGTTTAAACCACCCACTTATCCCAAACAGAGAGCAATAGCCTCCCATCCCTGGAGGAGAGTCCTGCTGCAGCTGCAACTCCATGACAAGACACCTGATTTGCAGGTTCAGTTCCAGCATTTTCAGCCCTTTCCCCAGAACCATGAGGACTATAATCTTTATTTGTAGGGTATGGGGCGTTGCTCTGCTGCAGAAGGCCAATGCGTGCAGAAAGTCTCAGATTCAATCCCCTATGGTTGCTTCAGGTAGGGCTGGGAATACCCACAGAGCTATTGCTGCCAGTCAGTGCAGGTAATGCTGAGTTAGATGGGCCAGTGGTGATAGATAGAAGGCAGCTTGTTTTGCAATGTTTTTAAAAGTGCAGCCTCATGAATTTGGATTAAGTGATTATTGCTGACACTGTTTTTAAAACAGGGAAGAGAATTTGCCATTGATGGAACAGACTGCTGTCCGGCCTAAAATAGGAAAAAAACACGCACTAATCTTCTCTTCCTCCATTGCTTATCTTAATTAGGAATTTTGTTGGATTTTGCTAAAACCCTGCAAGGGTGTCAGCGAGGAGCAATTTAGCAGACTGGGGCTGGAGAGTGGTTTTTGAATAATACCTTGAGATGCAAACTGCTCCTCCTGAGAGTTAAATAAGGGCGTGTGACACTTTAGACAGTTAATGCGAGACTCTCTGTGCTCTAAAACACACATGATCACATGCGTAAGGGAGAGGAGGGCATTACGTAGGCAAATGTCAGAACAGGATGAGAAAAGCCACCACCTGATGACTGCCAAACACAAATATTATTGGGTAGATTCTAAAGAAAGCCCTTCTTCCCACAGCACATAGTTAAACTGTGGAACTCCCTGCCACAGGAGGCAGTGACGGGTGGTTTTGAAAGGGAATATTGAGGGCTACTAGCCACCGTGACTATTCTCTGTTTCCATGACTGGAAGCAGCAATGCTTCAGAATGCCAGTTACTGGACGCCACAGGAAGGGAGGGTGCTCTTGCACTTGGGTCCTGCTTTAGAACAGGGAGCTGGACTAGATGGGCCACCTTCGGCCTGATCCAGAAGACTCTTCTGATGTTCGTATGTTCTTTCTTTAGGGCTCCAGCCTAAGGCATCTGCTGGCAGCCTTCCCCCCCAGGGGCACCAGGTCTCTGGCCTAAGGTCCCCTCCCACCAACCAGCTCCTTGGCGAAACCATCCCTGCAAAAGAATCTGGCGAAATGAGTGAGACAACGGATCCCACCAGCCAGGTATGGGGCTTGTACTTCCCACTCATTTCTAAGCCATATATGATTTGGGGGTTATGAAAGGGGCCCCCCTTCAGGGCTGCTGATATTCTACATTACCTCTCCTGGTATGTCCCACAGAGGACCTTATGGTCTTCAAACAAAAACATCTTGGAGGTCCTGGGCCACAGAGAGGTTAGGCTGGCCTCAACCAGAGCCAGGGCTTTTTCTGTTGTGGCCCCAATCTGGTGGAACGCTCTGTCACAAGAGACTAGCGTGCTGCGGGACTTGACATCTTTCCACAGGGCCTGCAAAACAGAGCTGTTCCACCAGGCCTTTGGCACAGCCTGACCCCCTCCTTTGGTAATCCTCATAGAACTGTATGAGGATTTCCCAGTAGTGATGTATGGAAGTGAGAGCTGGACCATAAAGAAGGCTGATCGTCGAAGAATTGATGCTTTTGAATTATGGTGCTGGAGGAGACTCTTGAGAGTCCCATGGACTGCAAGAAGATCAAACCTCTCCATTCTGAAGGAAATCAGCCCTGAGTGCTCACTGGTAGGAAAGATTGTGAAGCTGAGGCTCCAATACTTTGGCCACCTCATGAGAAGAGAAGATTCCCTGGAAAAGACGCTGATGTTGGGAAAGATGGAGGGCACAAGAAGAAGGGGACGGCAAAGGCCGAGATGGTTGGACAGTATTCTTGAAGCTACAAACATGAGTCTGGTCTTCCACTGCCTCCCGCAGTTTGGTCAAACTCATGTTGGTAGCTTCGAGAACACTATCCAACCATCTCGTCCTCTGTCGTCCCCTTCTCCTTGTGCCTTCCATCTTTCCCAAGATCAGGGTCTTTTCCAGGGAGTCTTCTCTTCTCATGAGGTGGCCAAAGTATTGGAGCCTCAGTTTCACGATCTGTCCTTCCAGTGAGCACTCATTAACCACTCTCAATTCCACCCTGATAATTGCCACCTGCCTGGATTTTAACTTGTCTGGATTAATTTTAAGATGTATTTTAATTAATTGATGTCTGTTTTTATGCTTATTGTGTTGCTTTCATGATGTTAGCCGCTCTGAGCCCGGCCTCAGCCAGGGCGGGCGGGATACAAATAAAATATAATGTAATAATAATAATAATAATAATAATAATAATAATAATAATAATAATATAGCTGAGTGGGGATTCGAACCCTAGTCTCTCAGGTCATAACCCAACACTCTAAACCATCACACCACACTGTTATTTGATTTGGAAAAATAAAAATGAAATGAAAAAACCAGTATCAAAAATTAAAAACAGGCAGCAAAGATTAAAACGATTAAACAGGTCCCAGAAAATAAAAAATAAAAAGATATTCACCTGATGCTAAAAAGATACTTACCTTATGCAGGTTGATTTGTTTTAACCAGGGAAACACCAGCTGTGGAGTGGAGACCACTTTATGACTAGCACCCACAATATTACCAACATTATTCCACTCCAGTCCCTGGAAAAATTGTGCACCTTTTTTTCAAATGGTCATGAATACAGTGAAAAATGAGCATAAATATACTGCTTTAAAGACAGAACCTCTGTACCTAACTAATGTTAGGGACCCATCAGGGATTCTCCCTTCCTGCTCTTTGCAGGATGCTAATTTCACATTTGTTTGTTTGTTTGTTTGTTTCATACACCACCTAATCGTAAAACAAAACAAAAATATCAAGCCCGTTTACAAAAAAATGAATGACAATAATTTGAGACTTTCAAAAAGTTAAAATAGTAATAAATGGATTGAAACTCACATCAGTTTTCTAAACACAGGCTTGCCTAAACAAAATGTTTTTAGCAGGTGCTGAAAAGAATGCAGGGAAAACACCTGCCTGATATGAACAGGCAAGGAGTTCCAAAGATCGCCACACTAAAAGATTGAATTCTTGCAAATGCAGGACGAGGATTATATGGCCATCCAACTTCTGTTCAAAAGCCTCCAACGAAGGAGAAGCCACCATCTTCCAAGCTCATAGAATTGGAGAAGTTGAAGGGACCCCCAAGGAAGGGTAGTCTCAGCACAACCCCTTGCAATGCAGGAACCTCAGCCTTATTCCCCTCAAAATAAATTCTCTCCCTTCCCATTTCAGGATGCTGGAGAACCAGCCTGTTTTGAAAGAGCTCTTGTGCTGGGGAAGGAGGAGGAGGAGGAAGGGGGCAAGAAGGAGACCTCCAGTCCAGGGTCCTTCAGTGTAGCATCTTCAGGGAGTGCAGGAGGCAGAAGCAGCCAACGACGACTCCAGGATGAGGCTTACAACACGTAAGGAATGAAAAGACAAACCCTCCTTTCCCCCCCTTTTTGCTTAAAAGTGGCCACTGGTCTGAGCTGTCAAGTGGACAAGGACTTAGGTTAAAAACTCCCCATTGTTATGCGCTACTTATTTACTTATTTTTATTTATTTGTTTTAGTTCTAGCCCAGGGGTCAGCAAACTTTTTCAGCAGGGGGCCAGTCCACTGTCCCTCAGACCTTGTGTGGGGGCCGGACTATATTTTTTGGGGGGGGGGCGGGGAGAGAACAAATTTCCTATGCCCCACAAATAACCCAGAGATGCATTTTAAATAAAAGGACACATTCTGCTCATGTAAAAACATGCTGATTCCCGGACCGTCCATGGGCCAGATTGAGAAGGCGATTGGGCCGCATCCGGCCCCTGGGCCTTAGGTTGCCTACCCATGTATATCTAGCACCAGGAGCTCAGGATGTCGTGCATGGTTTTCCCCTTCTGGATGAGCCACTGGCCTGATCCAGCAGGCTCTTCTTACGTTCTTATGCCAGGAGAGATGGACCGTTGGTCTGATCCCATGCAAGGGCTGTCCATTTCTCCATTTTCTGGCTCTGCCTCTCACTGGCTCCCCAGAACAGGTCAAGTCAGGAGGGCCTGCCTGTGTGACACTGAGCAAGTGCTAAGGGCGCTTTACGATGTTCCAGTGGGGAGGCTGCAGGCGTTGCCCACCCTCTCTGCTCCACAAGCCCACCACAAATCCTACCCCCGCAAACCCTTCATGTACTGTCAGTTTCCATAAACCAAGCATTGGGAGCCAGCGGAAGGCTGCATGTTTTGCTAATGGAAAGGCTCTCCAATAAATCTTTGCATGGAGCTGATCTATAAGTCACGTCACTATTGATTATAGGTCAGCCGGGCCTGTCGAAAGTATGGCTGCCTTCACTTTTGCTTCTTGTTGATGGGGCGAGGAATGGGGAAAGATGGCTAACCCAGCTCCACCGCAAACACACTGTCCTTGGAAGTGTTTGGACGCCTTATTCCGTTTCCGTAACTCATTTATTTCATGACTCATTTATTTCATGACTCATTTATTTCATGAGATTTATATACCACTTGATTATGTGTGGGAGGGGAGCCCTCAAAGCAGCTGACAAAGATGAAATGAGAAAACCAAGGAAAAAATTAAATACTTTAAAAATACAAGTAGTTAAAATTTTAAAACAAGTGAAAATTCACACCCACTTTCTAAGCATCCGGTTAGGCTTGTCTAAACAAGAATGTTTTGAGCAGGCATTGAAAGGAATACAGGAAAGGTGCCCGCCTGATATCAATAGGCAGGGAGTTCCAAAGTGCAGGTGCTGCTGCACTAAAATATTCATGTTATTGCAAACGCAGAACAGGGATTATGAGGCACCTGTGGAAGTGCCAATTCCACCGATCAAAGCAGTTGAGTGGGCACATGTGGGGTAAGGGGATTTTGTTGGTAAACTGGTCCCTAATTCTTAAGGGCTTTGTATACTAATGGGAACGCCTTGAACTTGGCCCGGTAGCAGATCAATAACTAGTCTAGTTCTCTGAGCACAGGTGCTGACAAATCTTCATTCCTTCATAAGGCCAGAATTCTGCACTGACTGCAGCCTCTGGATCGAGGGAAGCCCCACATGGAACAAATTACAGTAACCAAATACTGGCATATAGAGGCCTCTCAATGGTTGTTAGCTATGATAACTGGGCACAGGACTAGTAGTAGCTAGGATTCCCACATTGCATGGGTTTGGACTAGATGATCTAGTCTACAGTTCTATGATTCCATAACCCCACAATTGATTTGTCGCCCTCTCTCTGTATGCAGCCTTGGCACTAAGTGTGGGAAAGTGTTATCACACAGGGATCAAGTGATGGCAGCAGCATCCCCTGGCTGGAAGCCACAGCTGGGGTGTCAAGAGGCTGAGCATCTGAATTCTTCCAGGGAAGGATCTGTAGGTCCCATCCTAGAGCCTGGTGGCTTGGAGATCACAGGTAAGGATAGAAAAGGTGCTTCTTGGGCACATTGCAGGATGTGTTTGTGATGGGGAAAGTTTACAGCATTTGGGACTTTTTACTTTGGAGAAAAGATGAGCAAGAGGTGATGCGATAGAAGTTTATAAAACGATGCACAGCATGGAGAAAGTGGATGGAGGAAACTTTTTCTCGCTTTCTCATAATATGAGAACTCCAATGGAGAGTGTTGGAAGATTCAGGATGGATAAAAGAAAGTCCTTCATAGTTAAACTATTGAATTTGCTTCCACAAGAGGTAGTGATGGCTACCAATGTGGATAGCTTAAAGAGGATTGGACAAATTCATGGAGGAGAAGAGTATTGATGGTTACTTGCCATAATGGCTATGCTCTACCTCCACCTTTGGAGGCATCAATGCTTTTGGATACCTATTGCTTGAAGCCACAGTAGAGGCAGAGGGTTCTTGTGCTTAGATCCTGCCTGCAGTTGTCCCACTGGGACATCTGGTTGGCCATAATTTTTCCTATTTTATCTGGATTTGGTTGTGTTCCAGGTGTATTATTGACCACTTGGTTGTGCTTCCGCAAAACCATGACCTTATATTTGCAGTATCGTTTCTCTCTCTCTGCAATAACCATTTCTCCACTCTGCATCCTTAAGTTGTGGACCAGGTAATGTCAAACAGGCATGCTGATTTTTCTTCTGCACCTCTCAAACATTTGCATTGTTACTTTGTGACAAAATAATTTTCAAAAAAATAAAATAAAATCAGCTAGCAAGTAAGAACTGCCTGTCTTCTGTTTCCTTCTAGATCATGTGGAAAATGAGGAAGAGCATTGCAGGGAGAACGTTTGCCTGACAGAGAATCCCAAAGAAGATAACAATCCTTGTAGTTCCGCCTCCGACAGGAGTCCAGGGAGTTTGTCTTCTGCAACATGCTCTGCCAAATCATTTGGCTTTTCTCAAATGCTGGAGAGTCCCAGGTCTGGTTCTGAATTTCTAAAGGCCCGTGCGGTTCTTGTCAATATCTCCAGAAGCTCCCTTTCTGCCTCTGATTTCGAAGAGGAAGATTCCTCTCAAGACACGGATGTGAGCCTGCCAGAGGAATTTGCCTTCCAGGAACAGCCCCCTGACAGTTGTAGTGGCAACAGGATTCCTACAATCGCTGCTGTGTCACAGGCAGAAACTGGTGTGGATGGAGAGTTGCTGTCATCTGGCAGCAGACACCACTTCCGAGCTGCTTCTTGGAGTGCCCATTCAAATCAAGATGGCATGCCACCTATGCGCAGCCAGGAAAAGGCCCCAGAAGGCAGGCCAGAGAGTGAATCTGATTCTGTGGTATTATCAAACAGTGGAGGGCCAAGACCCCTTCTCTTTCAAGCCCAGACACCAGAGACCAGAGAAGACACAAACCCTTCCAGAGTTTCAGACCGGTGGCCTCATGCAAACAGCAAGGGCAAGATGTTGTTTCATATATGGGCTGGGGCAGAGAAGAGCACTTCCTCACCTAGCTGGGCCTTTCAGCATCCTGAGGGTCAGGACCCTTTATCAACCCTCAGCAAAGCCGAAGGGGATGATGAAGATCGAAACACATCCAAATTTAAAAGCCAACACGAGCCTGTAATAGAAGCACCTAAAGTGTCTTTGAAAAGTGTGAATCCTATCACTGACCAGCTCCAGGATTCACTTGGTTCCTCCAAATCCCAGTCCATTTTGGAGAGTGCCACAAGTTATACAGAAAATTCAGGTGATGAAAGTTGCTCCAGCAACAGCAGGCTGTGTGAGGGTGCTACTGAACAGATCACTGGAGCATCGCTGGGCGATGAAGAGGATAGCACCTGTTTGCATTCCCCTGAAACCACAGATATGGCAGCAGAAGGAAATCAAAATGCAACACATAGTCAAAGCAAAAAGGAATCTGGGGTGGCAGTGCCTGGTTCTAGTTCCCCCAAACCTGTGGAGGAACCCCAAGTTGAGAGCTGCCTTTTGCAAAGCGACGAAGGGACGTTCAGCGATGAGCTTCTGTCTCAAATGAAGGAAGATCTGTTATCACCTGTTGACGATTTTCTGACATATGGAAGCAATGATATGCCATCTCTGACCGAACAAGATGTCTCCTTTTCCTCCCAAAGCGAGGATCTTCCCGCACCCCCTGAGTCTCCACCAGAGCAACTTCTGTTCCCTACATGAAATACCTCCATGGAAACAAATGACCTGTCCTCATCTGAAGTGTGTAGGCCAGAGGAGGTTCATAGAATCATAGAACTGTAGAGTTGGAAGGGATCCCAAAGGGCCACCTGATCTGATTCCTGAAATACAGGAATCACAGCTAAAGAACCGTACAGCATCTACAGTTGCAAAGGCGGGCAGGGGGAGAATATCATTAAGTGGTCCATCAAGACCCTTAGCAATTTTCAAGTGCTTTGTTGGTGTGGGGAAAAGTTTGACCCATGTGTTTTTCTTTCTTTTTTTAAGGAATGGCATAATCAAAAGCCAGGGTGGCATTTTAGGGGGGCGATTTATAGTTTAAAAAATTAACGAAGAGGATATAAAGGACCCATCTCGAGCAAGTGGTGCAATTGGAGAGCGGCCCTTTAGAACAGATTAATCAGGTAGCTGAGCCAGGGAAGGAGTTAGCTATAAAATAACGGATTGGAGAGTCAAAATGGGGCTTGCGGAACACGGGAGACATATTAAACTCCCTTTACCATTATGTGCCCAGCACTCTCCAGGCTGACAGCCAGATATATCGTTACCAGCGAGGCCTCCGTCTCGTGATTCTCCTTCTTTCAAGGTCTAATATTTTCTTTGCCGTGCCTTTGATCAATATTAACCTCTTGGGTCAATAAATCTTAGTAGCGGCCTCCAGAGGAGTCATTAGCTTTCATAGGAAATGATTATTTCTCCGTTAAACTCTGCATTTCATTTGCCCACCATCCATCTTTTTCAGACACTGACGCACGCAGCAATCCTTCCTGAAAACAAGGGCCTCTATGAGGTATAAACGGCGTCCTGTTCTCCATCCCTTGAAATGCTTTGGGTTCATTTAAATTCTGTTCAGGGACCACAAAGTGGTTTCCTGCACTGAGAACAGTTTTAAAAAGAAGCAGCGGCTCACATGGAAGCAGAGAAGTCTCTTGGTTAAAACGTGAAATGAAAAAGGCTTCCACACCAGCCATTTGAGTCAGGATTCCCTCAAGGAATCCTGGGAACTGTAGTTTAAGGGTGCTGAGAATTGTTGGGAGGCCCCTATTTCCTTCACAGAGCTACAGTATTCTCAGAGTGGCTTAATAATTATAGAATTGTAGGGTTGGAAAAGAGCCCAATGGTCACCTAGTCCAACTCCCTGCAATATTGCAATCCCAGCTAAAGAATCTCTGACAAGTGCCCATCCAACCTCTGCTTAAAAAGCTTCAACAAAGAAAAGTCCATCACCTTCTGAGGGAGTCCATTCCACTGTCAATCAATCCCTCTTCCTGGGGACGTGTGAAATTGTAGCTCTGTGAGGGAGGAAACTACAGTTCCCAGGATTCTTTGGAGGAAGTCATGCATTTTGAATGTGTGTTTAAATGTATGGTGTGGTGCTTCACATCATAACAGAGAGTTGGAAGAGCTCTGAGGGTCATCTAGATCAACCCCCTGCAATGCAGAACTCTCAACTAAAGCATTCATGGCAGATGGCCACCCAACCTCTGCTTAAAAACCTCCAACAAATGGGAGTCCTATCCACCTTCAGAGGGAGTTCATGCCATTGTCAGATTTTCTCTCTCTTTAAAATGGTTATTAATTTTAAAATATTTTATCATATAGTTTTTAACTTTTTTTAGGTCTTAAACTTCTTTGATATGTTTGGTAATTTAGCAGTATAGAAATAAATAAAGTGTTGGATTAAAAAAAAACAGCTAAAAGGGACAGAGAATTATTTGCAAAAACCTAAGATTGCTCTTTTTATACCACGTGCTTGTATGTCCTGTTTTATTGTATACTGCACACACACACACACACACGGCCATTCTAGATTTTTGTATGTGCTACTACAGCCTTTTTCAACCTGGTGCCCTTCAGATGTTTCATTTTTATTATTGTGTTTTTAACATATTAATCACATCAAACTTGTTAACATTTTAAGCATTGTAGAGCAATGTTCCTATACATTACTAATCTGAAACAGTAACACATAAAAAGGGGGAAATGAAAATTGCAGAACTTAAATAGCAACGTAGATTGTGTCTCTGTGTGTATTTTGTTACACACCACCCAAGTTTCTGAGTGGCGTCAGATTCCAGGGGTTTCTGGTATACTTACCCAAGGTCTGTGTTTCCTTTTGGAAAAACAAGGCACAGTGGATACAGTGGTGTCTTTATGACATATGGTTTATTTACCTATATATACAACCTGAACCTACGATGGAGAGGTTTCCAGCACCACACTCCAAGAGAGTCTGGCTTCTTCCATAGCTGCAGTCCTCAAAAACAGCCCTCAGCCATTTATCTGCCTCTTTCTTTCTGCTTGTCACATAACTCCTGCTCTTTAAGCTTTTTGGCTCACATTACTTCATTCCTCTTTTGTAAGCTATTGTCTTTAGAGTGAAAGCAGCCCCAACTTGGATCCTAATACCTGTCCCTCAGGTGATTATCTCAACACAGGAGGTAATTAGCCCTTAACACATGCTAATTCTTGAGGATTAAGAAGTGTCTAATACACAGGCTGAAATACCCATGGGTCTTGCAGAGTTTAAAACATTCTAAGCCTTAATTAAATTCGAACGCCTACTGAACACAGTAACTTAGGGTGCCTAGCACCCACAAATTCATAACAATGCATGTGTGCTTGTGTATGTATATGAGTATGCATTGTTTGTATTTGGGTATCAGCTGGTGGGGTACTTCCGATTCACCAGAAATAATGAACCTATTTCTGTTGAGGATAGAGATACTTATTTTTGATCATTTTAAAAAAACAAACAGACAAGGCTTTTGCGGATCACGAGGTCCCTGCGGAACCGACAGACGCCTCGACGTGCCAGTTCGCGGCAGCGGCGAAGGGGGGCGGCCCACACCACTCCGCACCACGCCCCCCTCGTCCGCTGATTGGTCAACTGGAACGCGGACACGTGGCTACGCCCCCTTGGTCCTGACCGGCGGCGATGGCCAGTTGCTAAGGGAGGCCTAGCAGCCGGGCTCCCTCCTCTGTCTCTCTCTCACATCCAAACAGAGAAGGCCATTGAGATAAGGGGCGGAGATGCCACGCCCCCTCTCCAATCCTCGCCTTCTGAGTGGATAAAGGTGACCCGGGCGGGTAGCCGCGCCCCTTCGGTCCTCACCAGACCTGTTTCCAAGGCAGGCTGTCCGTTGCTAAGGGCGGCCTAGCAGCCAGGCTCACCCGGTCATGGAGGCTGGTGGCGGCGGCGGCTACGGGCGCCGGCGATGGGGGTGGTGGCAAGAGGTGTTGCCGCTATGGCGTGTGCTCTTGGCGGCGTCGATGATGATTGCTGCGGTTCCCGCCAGGGCGCGGCTGTACCAGGCGGGCACGGACCCGGTGTGGGTGCTAGAGGCCGCGACAGTGCGGAAGGTTCTGCGGGGCTCGCCCTCGGCCTGGCTCGTGCAGTTCTACTCCTCGGCCTGCGGGCACTGCGTCGCGTTCGCGCCCACTTGGAAGGCTCTGGCCGGGGACGTCCGCGGTGAGCGAGCTAAGAGGACGGGGCCCCTAATAGATTGGGGCGCGCCCCTCCCCTTCCCCATTACTCTCTCTGCCTTATTTATTATGCATTTATCTTCTCCCCATTAGCTTCATGGGGAGTAGGGGGAGGGGTGTGCATTTGAACCCTGGTGTAGCACAGATCCTATTTTGGCACTCTTAACCACAACGCGACCATTGGCTCCCACTGGACCCTTAGAGAAGCAGGTTATGCTGTGAGGTGGTGGAGGAGGAGAGTGGCTGGTGCAGGGGCCACTCTAGTGAGCATCATTGTTGGTGGTGGAGGAGAAGGATGTGTGGGAGGGAAGTGTTTGAGCCTTTTTATCCTCACAGCAGCCCTATGAGGTAGGCCAAAGTGAGAAGAGTGCATAGGGGTGGGATTCAAACCTGGCGCTTCCTCCCCCAGTCCTTCCCCAAGTTGGTGCTTGGTAGAGTCCAGAACATCTTGGAGGGGCCCGCAGGTTGTGGAAGGCTGGTCAGACGGCTACAGCTGACAACAAACCGGTCTTTTATTTTGCTTATTGCTACTTACCAAATGTATGTATATATAGATATACAGATCTAGATATATCTAGATATCTAGATAACAGAGCAGTGTGCAGCTGTTTATAGTCTGAAGGGATTCAAGGCAGCTTTCTTTGCAGAGTTCTTGTTTCTCCAGGGCTATAACTGAATGCATTTGGCATATTAATTGGAGGATGTAACAGATCAGGGTTTATTGCTGCAGGTTCTAAATGGCTGACAGAGAGGCCACCATAGTTTGCGAATCTTAGATCCATTTCTAGGACTGAGATGATGCCAGTGATGATGGCCTCTGTCCAAATTGAGAAGACATTGCCAGCGAACTGGAGGAGGACAGTGTATAGCTTCAACAATTGTAGTCTTCTCTTGTCCTATATGAGACCTGGTGAGGAGCCATTCTTTACCCCCCAGCCCTTCCCATTTCTCAGTTTCCTGATGGCTCTACCATGAGAAATTCTCCTCCAGCTCCTGGTTGAGGGTGTGAGAAAGAAAGCAGTGAAGTTATCCACCTTCCCCTGGGGCTTCCCAGCTGAGGATGTTGTGATTACCACTTTTAAAAGCTTAACTGATTACAGTACATACCCTGCCCAAACCAGCTCAGCAGACTTCTGTCATAAGAAAAGCATGCTGTCTTCACAGTGGCCAACAAGATGCTCCAGTGGGAAACTCACAAGCAGGAATTGAGCACAAGAACACACTCTGCTCCTGCAGTTCCCAACAACTGGTATTCAGAAGCCTTGCTGACGGTGGAGGTAGAGCATAGCCATCATGGCTAGTAACCACAGAGGTTGCAGCTCTCTAAATTCTGCATAGGATGTCATTATGCAGAAGGCAAAACTGTCTGCTGAGAGAGCTGTCTGAACCAAGAAACATCAGACATTTAAAGCATATGGCCAAAGAATTCTGAGAATTGTAGTTTATTAAAAGCACTGGGGATTGTAGCTCTGGGAGGGATAAACTGTGGTTCCCAGAATCCTTTGGGGGTTTACATGTGGTTTATATGTACGGTGTGTATACAGCCCAAATCTAGTTTAAAACATGAGAACACAAGAAGAGCCCATGACTTTCTGCATGCCAGGTAGGCAATAAGGGTGTAAAACTGAAGGCCATTCCAAAGTGATTTTGTGTTTCTTCCCAGTTTAAATGTTCTCCAGGGTGGCTGTGTGCAGATGCTGGAAAAATAATAATAATAAATTCTTTACTGGTTTGACCAAAAGAGCTTCTCCAGTAAACAATAGGGTTTCCAGATAGTTAAATCTTGAAGTTGTTGGTATTTGTCTGTCTTGTGAGACAATGGAAGAGTGAGGTCAAGCTGTTGGAAAGTTGCAGTGCCTGCTGTGGCTGTAGAGATCATTGTTTTTGTACTTTCAAGTTTTTGTTGTTGGTAACCTCAGGAGTTCAGAACTTGGTCTTTACAGCATGAAAATATATCATATTCTCTGTGTGCACATCATGGTGACAGAACCGACATATCTCCAAGGGTAGTTGTCAAGGAATTTAAATTTTTCTCAAAACATAGTTTGCTGGCTATCACTGTCCTTGGATTGAGAGAGCCTTGCCAGGTATGCTGCTAGCTTTGAGATCGGATTACTATTATGTACTTTACCTGGAGCTGTCCTTTTATGTAGTTTACCTGAAGCTGACTCAGAAGCTGTGGCTTGCTGTCAAGGTGACCTGCCATGAACACACGGTGCCAATCCTGAAAGGGTGACGCAGGCTGTCAATGTGTTACTGAGCACACTTCAGGTTACTTGTATTGGTTTACAAAGCTATATATGCAATTTGAGGCCTGGATACCTGCGAGACCTATTCCCATATACACCTTTTGTTTTGGCTATTCCAACTCAGGATTGTGGTATGCTCATATGTGGGAGGTCCTTCTTGGTGATGGGGCCCCTGCTTTGACACTCCCCTCTGAGACACTACTGGCTGAGAGGCAATTGAGGTTTGGGGGTGAATTGAATTTCAGATTCACATTGTTAAAGCTTGTTTGTAGTTCACCTGCCTCATTTTTGCATATATGGTCTCTAAACTC